GTTGTAGGTTGCTGGGCCGAAACTCGGTCTTCTGCTGTAAAAGCTTGACGGACTGAACTCTGGTCTTTGTCTGTTGTCGTTTTGTGGACCGAAACCAGGCTTTCGGTTGTTGTTACTTTCGGGACCGAACCCATCCTTCCGGTTTTGTTCTTTCTGTGGCCCGAAAGTTTTCTTCTGGTTCTTTTGATCCAATGGACCGAAGCTCCTTTTACTCTTATTTGCTTCTCCTTTTGGCTTGGAGTTTCTATCAAAGTGAGGATAGTGAGGATTTTGGGAGCGCCAAAATTGCTTTTGCTCTGAGAGATTTTTCTTGTATCTCAGATTTCTCTGCTGCTTTTGATTTTTCACCTGTTTCGGTTGTTTGTGAATATTTGCCTTTTGTTTCGCCTTTTGAACAACTGGTTCACTTTCCATGGAAGAGGTTTCGCTTGTAGAAGAGACGCATTCTACCGGAACCTCTTTTGTGCCACTGGAACTGGGCACGTCAAAGTTGGTAGGTTTATTTAGTGGTTCTGCCATATATCTACCTTTGGTCTTCCATGAAGTTCGCTCCGACAAACCAACTGTTTCATCTGCGTTGTCTATCGGTGCAGACCAGAAAAACTCATCGCAGCCATCTGCATTATCTTCATTCACCATGGCAGTGAGTTCGGCTATCTGATGTTCGGTTACTCCTGTGACCTTATAAACCTGATTGGGAGTGGTTCTAACCTTTTGGTAAACAACCGCCTTCTCTTTAAGGATTGGGGACTTATTTTTGGACAGACGAGCGAATTCCACAGAATTTTCAGAAATCAAGTTTTTGTGGTTTTCAGGTTCGCTCCTAATAAACTCTGAACAGACAACCTCATCCTCTACAGAGATTTCACTCATGTCATCGTCCTCATTAAGTTCAGATGCATTTTCAACATCAAGTTTATTTTCTGAACTTAATTTGGCACTCAATGAGTCAAATTTTTGTATAGTTTCGGCTCTGAGTTTCAACTTATCATTTTCATCCAAAAGATTCTTAAGCATGTCCTTATGGTCTTTGGACTTTATAAAAGATTCAATTTTGTCCAGACCATACATATAAGTGGGATTTACATCGTCTGAAGATACAACACTTTCACAATTGTATGCTTCAGCATCGATTTCTTCCTCCTTTAACTCAAGGAAGGGCAAAATCATGCTATGTATCTTCTGGCCTATTTCACAGTTTAAATGCAGCTGAGTAATGTTAGTATAAAGTCTTTTTGCAATTAAACAAAAAACATTCCTCTGTTTTAACAATTTAAGATTGTCTCTTTGCAAATAGATATTCTCATCCCTAGACTTAACCAGCTCCAACTCCTTCTGCTCAATCCATATCCTTCGCTCCTCACTCTTGGATGATACCCTGTTTATTTGGTCAGTTAGATTAGAATTCGTGACACGTGTTTGAGTTAAACAACTATCTAGATTTGAAATTCTTGAATTCAAGTTATTTAATTCTTTGTCATATGATGTTAGTGGAATTTTAAACGAAACAAAGATGGATTGTACCTTCTTGATCAGTTCATCTAGTTCACTGATCTGCACACTGAAAGCCTTCGCTGTAAAGCACACGTCCTCTCACTCCTTATCCACTTCGTTTCCACCATCAGTGTTGTATCCTCTCATCTGGGATACATCTGTCACCATCAGACATCTTCCACCAGCATCACTACTCTTCGCCACATAAGCCTTTCCATGAGAAGGCTTTCTCACCTCATCATCTTCTGAGTCGGTTGACCACACCTGTACGCCACCGAACTCATCATCATCTACCAAATCCTGCACAACAAGAGCATTCATAGAGGGATTAGTAGTAGCCTTCTTCCTTTTAATCTCCTCCAGTCTTTTTAGGAGACTTGCTTCTTCATCCTTCTCCTCATCTTTCTCTGCCATCTTTTTCAACACGCAATCTTTTGCGTAGTGATTTTTCCCACCACAGTAAAAACAGCTGACACCAGAATCAGCTTCACTCTTCGCTTGTTTCTTTGATTCTTCAACCTTCGGCTCCTCTTTCACTTTCTCAGAGCTGTAGCTTCCCTGCCAGTTTCGGTTCTTATTGGTAGGGAACTTCTTCTTGATGAATCTTCTGGGATTTGACACCATCATAGCATAGTCTTCAGCTGTTAAATCGTAGTCTCCCATATTCAAATCTTCTTCTTCTTCTGCTGCATTCTTACCTTTAGATAGAAGAGCCAAAGAACCCAAGTTTGAAACCACGCTCTTCTCTTGTAGCACAATCTTTTCCTGGGATTTCAGAATTCCTACCAGTTTTGCCAAAGAATATGATTTGAACTGCTCATGCGCTTTAACCGTCGACACCACTGCTCTCCACTCGGGTCTTGGGCCATTTAAGAAAGTGGCCTTCTGTTCGATGAGCTTCCTTTCAATGTCATGTTTGATCATCTTGCTGAGAAGATGATTGAACCGATCAAATGTTTGTGTAACAACCTCCTCTGGCAACTGTTTGAACTCTCCAAATTCAGAGAGAAGTAGGGTCTGAATTGAGTGCTCCAGATCTTCATCTGTAGAGTACAGCTCTCACAGCCGATCCCAGATTTCCTTTGCTGTACCACAAGAACTTACTAATCGAAATGTGTCGGATTGAAGAGCGAATCGAATTAGTCTCAATGCCTTAATGTTGCATTGGAACTTCTCCTTTTCGTCCTGAGCGACGTCCTTCACATCTTTTAATAGATCATTATACTCCTTTTGAGTTTTAATGATTCTTGAAGTGCTAGAGTGAGCGAAGGGGCCAGCAGTGATAGCTTCCCATATCAGATACCCATTATCTTCCGATCCAATAACGTAATCTTCAAAGTGGTGCGTCCACACTTCATAGTCTTGAGTGTAGAGGATTGGAATCTTGGTTGTTGATCCGATGCTGTTAGAGATGTTGATAGGATTGGATTGAGAATCGTCCATACTTGATCGTTTAACCTGTAGTAAGATCAGACTTTGTAATATGTAATATTAGGGCAAGATGAATAATTAATGAGATACGTCAATTATGGAGTGACGGCTCAATAAATATCAATGAATGCGGAATAAACCCTAATCACTTCTTTCACAGAAGAGATGTGTATGAATTACACAGTCTCCTGCTCTGATACCAATTGATGAGTTGAAAAACTCTTTGATCGTTTAGATCTTATACAAGTTAATCAGAATAATGCAAACATAAATATCAAACACGAGAATGAATCAAAATACGTTGAATGATTCAATAGATTCACGCCTCAGCAGAGCTCGACAAAGAACTTCCGCTGTAGAGGCTTTTTAGGGTTACAATCGATAAAAGATATTCGTTGTGAATAATCGACTCCAAAATCTTACGTACAAAGATGCATGCAAGCATCTATAAATACTAAACCCTAATAATAAAATCACGGATGGACAGGCCCAATCCGGATACAAAATTGGACTATGGACCGAGCCCTAGACGCAACACTTAATGGACCCTACATTAATTCTTAACAATTGTTACATGTATTCTATAAGAATTAATGTAATTTTTGTTTTAATTCTTTAATTGCTGGTTCGAGAATTTGTTATTCTACAAGAAATTTTTAAAGTCATGATCAAGAAATATGTTCAAGAATATTTTTATTATTTTATTGGTATAGAATATTTTTATTTTTGAATATACTCAATCATATTCTGTCAGAATGTCCAAATTAAAAACCTTATAATTAGTAAAAATCAGATTTTTAAAATTAATAGAATATATGATCCCTTAAAATATGCAAATTTCCTTTGTTAAGTATATATTAATTGACTAAAATACCCTTCTAGTTAAATTGGATGATATTTTTCAATTATATTTAATTTAATAATATGTATTAATCACTTTTTTAAAATAAGTAAAATGATTGGCCCACGTTTATACATATAATAATACAATAATTATTTTGAATAGAATAACCTAAGCCTATATATATATATATATATATATATATATATATATATATATTCAATTATAAGATTTTATAAAATATATTACCATGTTTCAAAATTTTAGTATGTATATAGTTTTTTATATGACTTCGATACATAAATATTAAAGTATTCATTTATGATTAATTAATATATTTTAATATATAACAAGATATTAAAAATATTAAATATTACATCTAAATTATAATTATTAGATAAAAATGAAGTATAAATAACATAAAATAGAAAATCGAGAAACTAAAATCAACAATTGAAACTTTACCTCAATTTTGGAGAAATGAATAGTGTTCCTTTATATTTGGGGGAAAATTATTCATATCTCCAAAAATGAGATGAAAATAGTATAGGGTTGGAGATGAATGAATAAAGAAGTAGAGAAGAAAATGAGATTTGAGAGTAGGTTGGAAATACTCAAAAAAGACAGATCATTTTGGAGTTTATTCCTTTGTAAACACAAAAAGTAGTTAAAGGATTTATTTTGCAAATTCCATATACATCATTGGGGCAATATATCATTTCTCATATTTATTTTATATAAGGTATAATATTAAAATAAAATATTATTATTATTATTTGTTTTGTATCGCAATGTTTTTTTATCATTATATTAAAAAGGCCCAAATATATTTAACATTGGTGTCATTTCGAGTCTCTGTTTGTTAATATAATATATTAAAAATTAAAAATATTCAAATTTTATTGTATTTATAATGATTTACAAGAAAAGGTATAAAGTGTTTATTTCATATACCAAAAAGGGAATATACGAAACTATAAAAGATATTTATGTAAATTGGTGGACCGATTTCTTTGAAAAAGAAAGGACAGCAAACATGTCCGACTGTCTTAGAAGAAAGGACGGACCCGATCAAGGAAAACTATGGACCCTACTATACTATAGTGGATGCTCCGAGTGAGTTCCAGCACTAATATACTCAGTCTACGTACCTTTTTCTCTTGTCTGCAAATTCTAATCTCTTGAAATCAAAGCCCTTAACAAAAAATCGAATCTTTCCTTTCTCCAAATCCCAATGGCTGAAATCGTTGTTAGCGCCGTCATCACCGTGCTGTGTGAGAAACTGATCTCCGGTGACTTGATGAAGCTTGCTCGATCCGAAGGAATCGATTCTCAGCTGAAGAAATGGAAGAAAAACCTGCCCATGATCCAAGCCGTGCTTGCTGATGCAACCCAGAAGCAGATTAAAGAGAGAGCTGTTCAATTGTGGGTGAACGATCTTCAGTATTTGGATTACGACATTGACGATGTACTCGACGATTTGGCCACCGAAGCTCTGCGACGCAAGTTGAATCAAGAAGCTTAAGCCAGCACCAGTAGTAGTAAGGTATTGAAGCTCGTCCCGAAATGTTGTACTAATTTCACTCCTCGCAACATTATGTATGGTCAGCAGATGAGTTCGAAGCTAGAAGAGATCACCACCAAATTGCATGATCTTGTTGACAAGAGAACTGATTTGGGTTTGAATGTGAATGTTGAAAGGTCAAATATAACACAGAGACGGTTGGAGCAAACTTCACTGGTTGATGAGTCCAAAATCCTGGGTCGGGATAGGGATAAAGTGGCATTGCTGGGGAAGTTGTTGAGGAATGAAGAATGTGATGAAAATGTAAGCATAGTATCGATAGTTGGTATGGGTGGAATAGGCAAAACCACTCTTGCCAAAGTTTTATACAACGAGCAGAAAGTGAAAGATCACTTTGAAGTCATGGCATGGGTTTGTATTTCTGAAGAGTGCGATGTGATTAACATTAGCAAGGCTATCTTTCAAGCAGTAACAGGTCAAAACAAAGATTTTGCTAATCTAGATCTTCTTCATGTTGCCCTCAGAGAAGAACTTTCAAAGAAGAGGTTCCTACTCGTTCTAGATGATGTCTGGAACGAAGAGGACAGTAAGTGGGAAGTCATACAAAGCCCTCTTTTTGTAGGGGCACCTGGAAGTAGAATTATTGTTACAACCAGGAGTACCAGAGTTGCATCAGTGATGGACTCGCAACAAACTTACCCTCTAGGCGTTTTGTCAAATGAAGATGCACTGTCATTATTTGCTCAACACGCGTTAGGAGAAAAAAACTTTGACAAACATCCAACACTTAAATCGCATGGTGAAGGTATGGTTCACAAATGTGGAAGATTGCCTTTGGCTTTGAAAACGCTTGGGAGGGTTGTGAAGGGAAATAGAGATGGCGATGAATGGGAGGAGTTGTTGAAGAGTGAGATATGGGATATAGATGATGGAAATAAGATTCTTCCGGCTCTAAAACTAAGCTACTATCGTCTCCCTCCACATCTGAAGCAGTTGTTTGCATATTGCTCCTTAATTCCCAAGGACTATGTGTTTGAGAAAAATAAATTAGTCCTATTGTGGGTGGCAGAAGGATTTTTGTCCCAATCAAAAGGAAACAAGTCAATGGAGAATTTGGGTCATGAGTATTTTGACAAGCTAGCCACAAGTGTTGTAGGAGAGTTTCCCTTTAGATTGGACAATGAGATGGATGCATCTGACATGAATGAAACTTTTGATAAGTTTCATCACTTTTCACTTGTAGGTTTAAGATCTGGATCATATAGAAAGCTTAATGAATTACAAAGAGCTAAACACTTGCGAACTTTCTTAGTCATGTCAGTTGTTTTAGTTGTTTTGGGTAACTGTGGCTTTTTGGACAAGGTTCTTCTAGAACTACAATTCCTGAGGGTGCTAAGTGTCGTGGGCTTGAATCACATGTACCGAGGTAGTCAGATAATAATGAAGATACCATAATCCATTGGTAGTCTCAAGCATATACGGTACCTTAATTTTTCTTGTACTGAAATCACATGTTTACAGAACAAGTGAGTGACCTCTATAATCTATAGAGCTTGTTGCTTCAAAATTGTTTCCTGTTATCTAGCTTTCCAGAAAGTTTTGCAAAGTTAATAAACCTACGACATCTTGATAGAAGTAATACTCCAAAATTGAACAAGATGGCCTTGGGGATCGGTGGGTTGACCAGCCTACAAACTCTAACCAAGGTCACTAGTACAGAAGAGGTTTTTTAGTGTGAATCCTTTTTCTTTTTTGAGGCGGTTGTATATAAAAACCGTCCCATTAAATGAAAACCGCATTAAAAGAGTACTTACAGGAATCCTACAATAGGTTTATTAATGCGGTTCATGAAAAATAGCATTAAAATCGATTTTTTGATGCTACTTGTTGTAAAAGCACCATTAAATCGATTTTTTGATGCTCCTTGTTGTAAACGCACCATTAAATTATGAGCTTTTAGTGTGTTTTTGTTTATAAACTGCATTATTAAACTTCGACTTTTTGATGCGATTTTCTGAAAAACGCAATAATTAAAAGCTAGAGCTTTATTAGTAATTCAGTATATCATTCCGAGGCTTTCTGTTTTAAATGCGAACGTTCTTCTTCTTCATAGATTCCCTCTGCAGCTGCACAAAAACTCAAATTAGCTTCATTAAATTGTCTAGTTATCTTCATTAAAGGTAAATTTAATTTTATTGTTCTTTTGATTTTATTCTCCCTTTTTATTAAAATGATTGTTTAATTGTTATTTTTTAATTTGATTTTTATAGATTATTAAACATGTTAAAATTTACATAACTTGTTTGTTGAAAATCGATATATTACATTCTTTGTTTGTTTATTTTAATTTTCAGATGAGTCGTGATTATTGGATGTACAAAGCTTCACGTTTTTCGGAACTTTATATAGAGGGTGTTCGAACTTTTATTAGGGTTGCCGAAGCAAATCGCGTTAATAAAGGAAATGAATCGATTTCTTGTCCTTGTAAGCTTTGTAAAAACATTAAAACGTTTAATTGTACCGGAGAAATAGAGTATCATTTGTTGCAAAATGGTTTTGTGCCTAATTACACTTGTTTGTCAAGACATGGAGAAACACTTCTTGATCGTGGCACATCGTCGAGCAATTTAGATATTAATAATAGTACATACAACAACGATTCATATTTTGATGATGAACACCATTCAAATGACTCAAATGACAATTTTAATGAAATGTTTGATGACATGGAGACTAATATGGGTGATGCTGAACAAGAAAAATTACAACGCCTGTTTGAAGAAGTAGAAACACCGTTATATAGTGGTTCCAAATTTATGAAACTCGATGTGGTATTGAGGTTGATTAACTTAAAGTCGACAAACGGATGGAGTGATAAAAGTTTCACAAGTCTATTAGAGGTTTTGCATGACATTCTTCCGGAAGATAATGAATTACCCATTTCTACATATCAAGCAAAAAAGCTAATGTGTCCGATGGGATTGAAAGTTGAAAGAATACATGCATGTCCAAATAATTGTATGTTGTATAGAAAGGAGTTTGAGAATAAACATAATTGTGTTTTTTGCGGTGCATCGATGTAACACCGTAAAAATTTGAACAATTTTTCACTAAAAAAAAACCATGAAATATCATTTGCATTCATAAATAAAAACATTGTATCAACATTGTATCAGTACAAAACCCCAAGATCAAAATATATAAACTCCAATGTGCGTGTGTACAAATCATGCCGGCGCCTTCCCGCGATCATCACTGGTACCTGAAACACATAACACATAACACTGTAAGCATAAATGCTTAGTGAGTTCCCCAAAATACCACTCCAACACATAATAGCCACTCGAGGCTATAACTCTGTCGATCCTCTGGTCAATGTGTCTCAGTGGGGCCCTCCAGCCCCAACTCTCTGTGGGCCCTCTGGCCCTAACTCTATGGACCCAAAGGTTTTTACTCTGTAACTCTGAATCATGCATATCACATATCACAATAAATCACAACACATAAATAACATGAAAATACACTGGCATATCACTCTAAAATACTCTGTCACGTAACTGTGTTATCACACTAGGTAAAGTATAGTGAGAAGACTCACCTCAGACGTCTCGGTAAATCTTTGACTCGGTAGAAATATTGCCTAGCCTCCGCCTATTCACATAAAGTAAATACTCTCATAAATATAACTCTCGAGACTAGACTCAACCCTCTATTGGCACCCTCAGAAGGGTAAAAGACTATTTTACCCCTCTCTTGACTCAAAGACTCCATTGTTGACCAAACCCTAAAAGTCAACAAAAGTCAACGGTCAAACTTTGACCCAACTCGTCGAGTGCACTTTGGCGACTCGGCGAGTACACACATGTCCACTAACTCTTTGCCCCGCTTGGTACGTCGAGTCCCTCCCTATGCTCGACGAGTCACACCTGGCATGAATCGCGGGGCCACCCCGACTCAACTCGCCGAGTCTCAAGAACAACTCGGCGAGTACCGCCTCGAACTCCAGTCCTCTAATTCCCTTCTGACTCACTGCGTTATCCCCCAACTCGGCAAGTCTACTCACTGAGTGATTTACGTGAAACCCTAACCCTACTCGCCGAGTCTCAAGAACAAATCGGCGAGTTCATGCCATGCACAAACTCTATTGACCTCCTGAGGTCAGATCTGTGCCCCTAAACCATAGATCTGGCCTTCCCAAGCATGAATGTCACGTAAAGTTCGAATCTTGATGCTTATATATCAACAAAATGGCATGAAATGGTGATTTAGCCCCAAAAATGGCAACCTAAGTCCATTAACCCCAAAATGACTCATAAAGCTTCAAGGGTTAAGGTCTCTGGACCTCTTTGAGTCTAGATCCAAGGCACAAACTCGAGAAGGGACCAAATACTCTACATAATCATCTTCCAAAGGGTTTGAAAATCCTAACTCTATGAATAACCACCCAAAACTAGAGAAAGTCCGAAGGAATACCTCAATATGAAGCCCTTAAACTCTGAAATCACTAGATTTGCACTTCCTTCAGCTTTCTCTTGCCTTGATCACCTTCTCCTTCAATTTACACCAACAAAAGATCAACGATGGCCACTCTTTACCTCACAAACGATCTAGGTCTCTCTCTGGGGTGTGGTAGCCGCTATTGACGGCCATAAGGGCCTTTAAATAGGTCCCAAACCCTGGAAATTAGGGCTTCATTAAACAGCGTGGACTCGCCGAGTCCGGACGTGAACCCGGATGAACATCCGCGACCCTACTCGGCGAGTCTTGGCACCAACTCGCCGAGTTCCTCCACAACTCCAAAATAAATGAATAAAATAATATACCTGTGAATCCGGATGTTACAATTCTCCCCCACTAGAATCAGACTTCGCCCTCGAAGTCTCACTCTGAAAACAACTCCGGATGCTGCTCACGCATCTCATGCTCCGGCTCCCAAGTAAGCTCTGACCCTTTCAGGTGCTGCCACTGGACCTGCACCAGAGGCACTTCCTTGTTCCTCAGAACCTTGATCTTTCGATCCCGAATCGCCACTGGTCTCTCAACGTAGTTCAGGCCCACATCCACCTGAATATCCTCTAATGGCACCACTGCCGACTCGTCGACTATACACTTTCTCAGCTGCGATACGTGGAAGGTGTCGTGAATCTGACCTAGCTCTGCAGGTAGCTCCAAACGGTAGGCTACCCTGCCTACCCTCGCAATCACCCTGAAAGGAACAATATATCGGGGCCCCAACTTGCCCCTCTTCCGGAATCGGATCACTCCTTTCCAAGGAGAGACCTTCAGGAGTACGAAGTCGCCGACCTGAAACTCGAGCTCGGACCGGCGCCTGTCCGCATAACTCTTCTGACGACTCTAAGCGGTCAACAACCTCTGCCTGACCTGTTGTATTTGCTCAGTCATCTGAAGTACGATCTCTGTACTACCCATCACATGCTGCCCTACCTCTCCCCAGCAAATGGGGGTCCGACACCTCCTCCCATACAACAGCTCAAAGGGTGGCATACCAATGCTCGAATGATGGTTGTTGTTGTAGGAAAACTCTGCCAAGGGCAAATACGTGTCCCAACTCCCGCCGAAATCCAATACACATGCGCATAGCATATCCTCGTGCGTCTGAATCGTTCGCTCGCTCTGCCCGTCAGTCTGTGGGTGGTATGCGGTACTAAAATGCAGCCTAGTACCCAATTCCTCATGAAATTTCTTCCAGAATCTGGAAGTGAAACGCACGTCTCGATCTGAGACAATCGAGATCGGCACTCCATGCCGCGATACCACCTCCCTCACGTACAACTCTGCCAACTTCTCTGCGGAAGAGCTCTCACTGATAGCAAGGAAATGAGCGCTCTTCGTCAATCGGTCTACAATCACCCAAACTGCATCAACGTCCCCTTGCAGTCCTCGGCAATTTGGTGATAAAGTCCATAGCAATCTGTTCCCACTTCCACTCGGGAATCTCTAACGGCTGCAACTTGCCATGCGATCTCTGGTGCTCGGCCTTAACCCTGCGACAGGTTAGGTACCTCTCCATGTAACGTCCATAAAATTTCAACCAATTTAAATTTTTCAAAAACAACTCGATTTCATAAAATTATTACAAAAAGGTTTTCAATACAATTATTTCAGAGTCTTCCCAGAACCACATCATAAAACATAAACATGAGGAGCGGTACGATCACGCCTTTGCCTTGCCACGGTCTCCTGAAGAACCTGAAAAACATTAAATCACAACTGTAAGCCCGAAAGCTTAGTGAGATATCCCCAAAATACCAACCACATATACCATACACGCATAACATGCCATATCATAACAGAACACAGAACAGCCATGCACTTCGGGTCTACTGTGTGACTGGTCCGCCGCACCGGCCAACAGTCCACCTGGTCCACCCTCCGAGTCTAGCCATATACATTGATTCTACAGTGTGATTGGTCCGCCCGCACCGGGCCTTGAATCCACCTGGTCCACTCTCTGAGTCTACAATATGACTGGTCCGCCCGCACCGGGCCTTCAGTCGGTCTGGTCTACTCTCCGAGCCTCGGCACGTCTGGTCCGCCCTCTTGGGGCCTACTGCCTATCCGGACCGCTCGCTGGGCCTTCAGGATAACGAGTCTTCCCTGGGTATGTTGGCCTACAGCACAAAGCAGGTCCCGCCTCAACCCAACCCCAGTCCAACAACCATGTGCACATAAACATTCAATCATATAACATATCGCATCCAATCAAACCGATCTAACAGATCACATAGCATAACATCATCCTAACCAGGATACCGACCTAACCGGTCACTAGCATATACCATCCTAACTACTAGGATGCAACATAGTAAAGCAATAACATAACAACGACACCCGGATCACAATCCGATAAAGGGTCGGCCTTGGTGCCGTAGACTTTGTCGATATAGTGAGGATAACTCACCTCGCAACTACCGACTGAACAGATAAACCCAAGCTGCCCCGACCACTGATAGGATCTCCACCACTGGCCAACCACCAAAACACTGAACTCAAAACAATATCCAACAATTACCAAAATGCCCCTGGAAGTCAACTGGTCAACCCTTGGTCAAAGTCAAAGTCAAAGTCAACCCCTGACTGACTCTACTCGTCGAGTCAACCCGAGGACTCGCCAAGTCCCCATGCACAGAACTTCCCCAATCCGCGAATCAACTCGCCGAGTCACCCCGAGACTCGCCGAGTCCAACAACTCTGAGTCCTTTCACACTCGACTCACCGAGTCATCCCTTGACTCACCGAATCACAGCTCAACCAGAAGAAAGGTTAGGACCTCACGACCAGACTCGTCGAGTCCAAGAACCGACTCGCCGAGTCCAAGGCTATCTGTAACCAACTCGCCGAGTTGTTCTTCCAACTCGTCGAGTTCCTGACCATATTCATCCAACTCGCCGAGTTGTTCTTCCAACTCGTCGAGTTCGAGCCTATCTTCAAGCAACTCGCCGAGTACACCCTTGTGACTCGCCGAGTACCCCTAGATCTGAAACCATACAGAGGCTTTCCAAGCCATGCAGAAGCTCTAAACCATAGATCTACTCTTTTACAAGCCATCCATCACGTAAAGTGGCAAACTTTACGTGGATCCAAAGAGATCTAGGCATTTTACACTCTAGGGCTAGGGTTTGGGACAAAAGAGCTTCACCAAACACTCAAGAATCGGAACTTTATGACATGTAGGACCATCACAAGCTTAGATCTGAAGTAGCATCCTCATATCCAAGCTTCTATCTCAATTTAGATGTCATATCAACCACCACACATGAACCCCATGAAGAAAAAGCTTAAGGAAATGGTTCCTTACCCCTGGAATGAGCCCAACCAACTGTAGATTCCTGATCTCCTAAGCTTTCTGATACGAGCCTCCAAATCTTCAAGCTTAAAGCACCAAAGATCCTTCTCTAAACTCTAATTCACTCAATAATGGGGTCTCCTCATGAATTTAGGGTTTCTGGAACTCAAGGAATGGTAAAGAGGTTGGGGAGAAGATATGATGTTCTTTATATAGGGCTCAACCCTCGAAATTAGGGTTTTCTCCACTCAACACCAACTCGCCGAATCCGCCCAT